AAGTTTTATTATTCGAATGTAGCCAATTACAAATAAGGAGGAATAAGTTATAATTGGTCATTTATAACTACAACGGATCGTAGGATGCGATCACTAGGACGCAGTTACGTTGATCTGTGCCCCAGTAAGCGTAGTTTCTTATAGAAATCTTCGCTGCGATCAATGCGCCATAGTTACGCGTAACTCCGACGCAGAATTGGCTCTGCGCGTACCTGCGACACAGTTGATAAAAAAGCGGCGACGGGAGTACAGGTAAATTTTCTTGAAAAAATGTTTTTCTCTAAAAACCGTACTTCGTCGGTTAGTTTTTTATGCTGATTTTAGATATCATATTTCTCTTGCATAAAAAATAACTACTGACGTTGACATTCAGTATTTTTTGAAGGTTTGTATTGAATTTCGCATATCAACACATTTTGCTCTCTGAAAAAAATACACAAGTAAAAATTTTTCCTCGAAGATTTTCACACCATTTTGTAGATTTTGAAATGCTTTATCGAATTATATGTAGAACGATATTTTTAAGTACAGTCAAAATTATGAAAACACAACTGAAGACCATTGAAGCGTAAAAAAAGTAGGTGTGTATCTCAAAGTATTCACTATTTAATAATATGAACAGATTATTCTTCCAAGTTTGTTCATCACGTAGCAGATCGCGAAAAGAATTCTCTATCCATTCATAGATAAAAAGTTTAGTTGCCATTTTACTTAATGTCGGGAAACAATCAAAAACTAGATACACCTTGAGGCAAAGTTTCAGTCCAAAAATTTGTCTTGCGCTGTCTATAACTTGAACTGGGTATATCCAGTAAAGATAAAAATTAGAGGATATACATAAAAAAATGTGCTCTTTAAAATGAGCAAATTGAATCAAAAAAGTAAGGGTCACGACCCCTCACCCCTTAACAGACGATGGAGCCTCATCTGCATTTTTCTATTTGTTCTTGATATCTGTTCATCCAGCCCAATAAATAAATCTAAGCTGAATAAATTGTTCTATTATATTTTGAAGTAATATGACGCGTCCTGCTGAAAATTATGAGAGTTGGTATTATATCATCAGTGTTCTATTTAATCCTTAACAAGGATATGCATTCTCATGGCCCCATTTTCTGGTGCGATGCTGATCCTCACAGTATTTTATTTTATTAATACAATATAATGCTGAATCTCTCTGGTTTAACATATTCCACCTGATCCGTAGTAAAATAAAAAAAAGCTCTCGCTTTTAACAAATATTTACTTGAATCAAATATGCACAGATATTTTACTGTTATAAACAGCGAACTAGAATTAGTCAGCACTAAGCAACCATACATTTCCCGTCACGTAGAAACTAAATCATATACAGTAAAATCCCTCTAATGTGAACACCATTGGGACCGAACCAAATCATTCACTATAACAGGGCGATCACTAATGAGGGGGAATAGATATTAAAAATTGGCAGGTGATGTTTTACATTTGTCTTATTTTTTTATTCTGTTTACTATTTGTTAAATATATTTTACTACATTAAGGTATTTACTAATGTTCGACTAGTTTTAGCTCCCAATATTTGTATCAGCTGCGGTGTGGGTGTAGGTGGATGTGGCTGTATTCTTAACTCAACCACACACACACACCCATATTCATTCTTTCTTTTGAGAATATTTGAAATTGCACCAAGAGATACTTGAAATTTTTCTTTTATATCAAGATGAGATGAACCACATTCTTTTTCTTTAATGAGATTTATCCTTTGTTCCAGATCAAGGTCAGGTCGAGACGTCATAGCCTGTATAAATATACAAACAGCCGACAAAAATCACAAATAGATCATCTTTCATTTTTCTCTCTTTTTTCGCGTTCGTTTTCTTTATTGCCTTACGGAACCAATCAGATGGGCATTTTTAGTCTGTCTGTGTGTCGCACGAAAAATGATTTATTTGGATAGCGCCCTCTATAATTTTTCACAATAGACAGATTGAAATATGTAGCCGGGACCAAAAAAAAACCGTTCATAGTCCGAATATGAGGGGTGATCATAATGGAGGGATACAAAACCAGCAAAATTCGCTAGGTGGAACCGGAGGGTGTTCAGTAAAACAGGTTGATCATTAAAGATTGGTGTTCACTAATAGAAGTTTTACTGTAAGTGCTTTGTTTCAGAAAAAAGCCTGTCCCAGTTTATTGAATGATATTTTTTCTCACAAATCATGAAGGTAAATAGTCGTCATGAAGAGAAATATTTTCCTTTTAGATACGTGTTAGGTAGTGGAGCTGCACTTGGCCCACTATATATCTTTCTCTTTCTCTTTCTTTCTCTTTCTCTTTCTTTCTCTTTCTCTTTCTTTCTCTTTCTCTTTCTTTCTCTTTCTCTGTCTTTTTCTCTCTCTTGCTTTCTTCATTCTTTTCTTTCGTTTGTCTCTTCTTTCGTTTCTTTGTTTCTTCTTTTTTCTCACGCGTACATCTCTATATATTCCTTTGTTTATGTTTGAAATAAACAAGTTATGTATTTTCCACGTCTAGTCTAGATAGACTAACATTGGTGCCGTGACCCGTTTCGACAATTCGTCGAATTTATATTTGATTATTCTTATGTTGATTCCCTGGTTTATTTCGTCATCAATTTCGACCATAATTATTCAAACACGATAAGATTTTCCCCCTCGATTAGTTTTTATCTCTATTCCTCGTCCTGTCCGATTTTTTTCTCGATATTACATCAAGATTAAAGTTGATCTTTAAGTCCATTCTAAACTTATTGTTCTTACCGGTGCTTATGTTATAATTCGATTGCGTCCTCGTACTTTACTTGAAACGTATATCCTTATTGGAGATAATTCGGTCTCCTTACAAATTATTTCAATCGACTTATTAAAACTTAACAAGCGTTGTTTAAAATTAATATTCGTCTCATAGTAAACGGTTCAGTATTATTACTAATTATGGATCAAAGAAGCATGCATATTTTCGTTAAACAGCAAATTCGTCAACATACTTCATTTGGTGGTACTCGGAACGACAATGTTACTCAATGGTTACAAGATACTGAAGCTATATTTGATCGGGTACAACTACAGCCCATGAATAAATATATAGTAGTACAACACTATTTAGTTGGTACTGCTGATAAGTGGTTTCGTTATAATCATGTGAATATTCCTGATTAGTCTTCATTTAAGATTGCTATCACTCAAGCTTTTCAACCCGCATCTAATCGAACATTATCAGTGGTTGAACAACGGTCAATATCAGTACAAAATGCTAATTCATCATCAATATCATCCAAAACAACCCCAAATTCATCCTCCACATCTCAAGATAATTTTTCAGCAGTTACTGATCTCAGTGGATCAATTTCAAATAAACTTTCTCCGCCAACCTCGGAAATTGAAAAATCTTCAACATTTGAACGAATAATAAATGATGATCAACAATTAAATATTGTTGTTGTGCCTGAACCCTCATCGCTTCATCAATTCGTAAACGAAATTAAAGATTCAACCGTTGTTAACATCCCAAATAATTCGTCCTCGATACTTACAAGTACTCAATTAACATGTTCATCTACAGTAGCAATTGATAATCCTACTACATATGAAGCTGAATTACAAGAACTACCTAATGATCAAGTTAATTCTTATTCGTCGAATGATTTTCATGTAATTTTTAATGAACTTAGTTCTGTTACGGAATCAGAAAAAGTTAATACTCGTGTTAATAGTGAAAATGCTAATGTCGATACATATGTTTTTCGTGATGTCATATATCCAATGATATTAGGAAGATATCAGATTCAGAAGAATGTGTTAATCTTACTTTCTCAATCAATCGGATTTATTTTCGTAACTGTTACATATGTCGAATGAAAATGAAAACTCTTAGATTATCCTTGGTACATTACAAATCGATCATACTCTTAGTTCGTGACATATACATCTACGTGAAAAAGAAAATTAAAGCATTAACATTAATTTTCTCATCTTATACCCTTTCAATCGTTTCATCTCCTATTTTTTTTCATTTATGAGCTCGTTATACGTTATTTTCTTACTTGTTGGTTTATTACTACATAGTCATTTTTTTCTGTTTTTTTTTGCGCCGTTTCGTTAGTTGTGTGATTATCTGTGTAGTTTCGTGAACAGATGAATCCGTTCACTGGTAAAGGGTGGAGGTGTTAGGTAGTGGAGCTGCACTTGGCCCACTATCTTTCTCTTTCTCTGTCTTTTTCTCTCTCTTGCTTTCTTCATTCTTTTCTTTCGTTTGTCTCTTCTTTCGTTTCTTTGTTTCTTCTTTTTTTCTCACGCGTACATCTCTATATATTCCTTTGTTTATGTTTGAAATAAACAAGTTATGTATTTTCCACGTCTAGTCTAGATAGACTAACAATACGATTATATACAAGAACAAATTGAAATATGATAAGTTTTTATGCATGCTATGAGTAATCTCTGATAGGCCCATAATAAAAGTTTCTAAATACTTTTTACCGATAAGGATACAAGAAAAAGTAATACCATCGCTTGAAGCCACCGTAAAAATGCAATCAACAAGATATCAACTTCAAACGTCTGTATTTCGTAAAATGACATGTCTCTACTTTGTAAGGAGCCAGAGGAGTATCATAGCCTTTTTTAAATTATATGATGCCCCCAGTAGATCCATGCATCAGCGACTATCACTCTTAAAACGCTCGATATAAAGTATTATCTGCATAAACTCACAAGAAAATTCACCATATAGTACATTTTGAAAAAGTGCATTATAGCTATTTAAATTTACCGTCATGCTTTGGAATATTGTAGAATACTCAATGTTTCGTTTTTGTAGCGCTTTTCAATGTTAACAGTTACACCCACACCCACACTCTGACCCTCAAGAAGTATAATAATTGATTTCTAACATGCTAGTCTACGCCCCACTACTTAGTTGCACAATGCATTTGAATTTTAAAACACTCATTACTAGTTTTTTTTAAGAGCTCCATTTCTCGCTACAACCATCATATAAAATTAAAATACAAGGCGATGGGGCAGCTTTATATTTTAGTTCGTCTTCAGCAGTTTACTCATGCCAATTTCCAATAAATTTAGGTAAACAGTTACACTTTTAACTTATTCTGATTTTTAGAATTTTCCTATACATTATTGTGACCCTACGTATGTTCTACAGATACTTTCAGGTTACTGAATTTTTATTTCAGAGCAGTTTCGTTGTTGAAATAACTGATATAAATTTAAAAAACAATACTAGCAAAACACCTACAAGCAGTATCGAAATGATATATTGTCAAGAGAAGAACATTCTACTACGTTATATATTACTGGCGACTGTTATATTTTCGGGATTACTTTATATTTCATTCAAATCACGTAATATCCCAATGAAGGCTATTCCGAGTGATTTCATAAAACCATTCCAGCTCTCTACAGAGCTATGTTATCGAGCTGATGGAACAATATTTCCATTTGATCAATTAAAAAAATTACGTGTAAACAATACTGATCATAAAAGTGCATATGTCAGTGAAAGCGACGCTGCAAAACGACCTTATATATCGAAAGATTATACAAATTTAACTGAATTCATTGTGAACACTCGTGAAGCTTTTATGTCGCGTCGATTAAATCCAGGAAGTCATTCAATATTCAACATATTTCGTAACCCTCCCTATAAAGATATGGTAAAACCATCTTGTGATGGTTTATGGATGGAATTCGGTGTATTTCGTGGTTCTACTTTATCTCATATGGCGAATTGGAAAAGAACATTTTGTGGTAATGACAGCGAGCCAGTCTACGGTTTCGATACATTCAGTGGTCTACCGACACATTGGAGACCTGGATATGGTCCTGGGCATTTCAATGTAGCTGAAGGAGAAAAAATTGCGGTTCCTTCGAATGCCGTGCTAGTAAAAGGGCTCTTTATCGATACACTACCTACTCATCTTCGTTTAATAGACCGTAGGTTTCGATGTAAAACTCCAGTATCGTTTATTCATATTGATTGTGATATTTATGATGGTGCAAGAGATGTTTTATTTCTTCTTGGTAGTCGATTGGTGTCCGGCACAATTTTAGTATTTGACGAATTATTCAATTACCCAAATTATGAGAAACACGAAATCAAGGCTCTATTTGAGCTTTTAGCAGGTTCAAATTTACGACTCCTGCCAATAGGAGCAAGCGATAATATTGATTTGAAACCAGTGCGAGATAAAAGCCCATTTTCGTTTGCTTTTGTTACCGATATTGAATAAATTCAATAATAAAAATAGAAGAGAAATTCTCACGGATGATTTACATACATTACCGATTCATTCGCTTCAATGAAACCGTCATGAGTAGATCAATATCATTAAAATTCTATTTAAAGCATATATTTATCTTTGAAAAACAAGCTTTCACAGTTGTCGAAGCAAAATAATTTTTTAGTACGAAGCCATTCAATAGATTATAGACTCAAATATATTATATAGAACAATCATCACAGACGATTAGATATTGACATATGTCTGAAGACACACGAGTCCCATCCTACTGGTTTATTTGTGAAATCAAGGTTGCATTCAGTTGCATATTCGCATAAACGAAACTC